TATTTGAGTATATATAGACTGTACACATTATTGTGTTTAAAATTGATATATTTGGTATTTATTATTTTATATATTTTTTACTGTCTTTTTTTTTTCATTTATTTGTCAATCATATATTCATAAAATTTTGTGTGTGTGTCTGTGTGTGTGTGTATATATATATATATATATATATATATATTAGTAATTGCACCTCATGATTAATGGTTGGTAATTTTTATTATGATTTGACTAATTAGGCATCAATTATTCATTATGTTAGCGTATAAATTTAAAGTTACTTATAATTAAATTCTTATTTTGTACCCATTATACAAAGCATTTTATCGAAATGAATTGTAAAATACTACCCGTGGGATTAATTAATTCTAATTAATTTTGCAAAAAAATAAATCATGAAAGAGAAATTGGAAATATATCTATCAATATTTAAGAGTCTTCCATATAATTTGTCTCAATATTTGGTATAATATCTCGGATTAATAATTATGTGATCCAAAAATACTAAATTGTTAGTGTATATGAGGCCTCGTCTATGGCTTATATTTATATCCAGAATTAACCCAGAAAAAAAAAAAAAAAAACAGTAATAATAATCATCCCACCGGAACTTTTATAGGATGAATTAGTTTGAAGGGGCAATTTGGTAAATTGAGGGAAAAAGGGTCAAGGGACAACCTGTGGACGCTTCTATCGTAGTAAGGTGTCACACACGTGGTGATTAGCCACACAAGCGGACTTCCTTCACCTACCACGCGTAGCTCTGGGCAATTCATGACCACTCGTTTTGCACGTGGACCCACGTGAATAACTCGTTCCATTACGACCATCTGATTCATCCAACGGCTACTTGTAATGCCAGTTTTACTGCTAACCGTTACTTATTATCATGGATATATTAGCAAACCAGGCACCAGCTCACAGAGTCATAAAAATTAATCCTCTATGATCAGATCTACTCTTGCTTTTTTGGGTCTCTATGAGGAGTTCCATCAATCGTTGGCTAACACTCGGAGGAAAGACGTCACTCACGGTAACCAATTAAACATGCGATTCCATGTTATGTTTACAGAGAGAGAACCCACGTGATATCGCCAGGGCAGCGGTTTCGGGTTTGGTGGTACGAAATGACCATAAAGCCCCCTTGAGGAGGCCAAAACTATTCAAAATTAAATTCACACCCCACCCACGCCCATTGTTCTTTGGCTATAAGAAGGTCAGTCAATTGTATATTAGAGATTATACAAGTTGAGAACAAAAACTTTCTTTTGGGTCGTGTATATATATAACTATATTTTATTTTATATAGATATGAAATCAATGCACTGAGAGTAAAGGCATAGAGGAAGAACAATCATCTTCATGTAAATCCCTACCAAATTCACCTCGTAAGATATCTTTTTTCTTAAATTTTTTTTACTCTTGATTTCTAGCTAGCTATGGCAATTTCATTAACCCGGTTTTTATTTTCGATTTAGATTTACGTCGGAGTGACGATCGGCGATAAATTTCAGTAAATTTTGTGATCGAACACCTAAACTAATCATGATAAAGTAAGATCTTTCGTCTTTTTCGTTTTGACATTGATATTCTCGTTTTAACTTTTTTTTTTTTTTGGTTATTTTTTAAGTAAAAATTTCGAATATGTCCGTATAAACGATTGCGTGCAGTTTTTGAGTGATAATTGATAAACATAACTACATTATTTTCCAAAAGGGTTTTGTGAGTAATTAATAAATAATATTGTATTTTTTCTAGAGTTGCGGTGCTATTACTAATGATTAGTTAATACCCTAAAAAAAAATTTATGAAGGTATTTTTAATTTTTTAAATTATTTAAATTTAGTATTTTCATTTCTTTCCTCAAAAGTTTTAGATAAAACTAGGTTCTTAAGATTCAGAAAAATATAAATAATTTTTTAAAACTTAAAATTTTGTACGACATAACAAAGATAAAAGCAAAAATATGAAAATGATATCATAGAAAGACTACAAATTTTGAACTATACAATTAAATCAAATATAATGGTTACCAAAATCACTCGCAAATAAAAATCCATAAGAACAGAAGTATAATTAAATAAAAAACAACAAACAGTGAGATAAAATTGTATGTTTTTAATAAATAAATAAAAAAAAAAAACTCTTGATTTTGTATAGAATATAAGAAAAAGACATCTCAGTAATATCATATAACATAAGATTTAATTACTTAAATTTGATTTCTGCTCCCATCCAAACCTAAAAATGAATACTTTGATAATGTGACAGTAATTAATAAAAATTGTAAATAACTTTTTTAACTAAATGTTATAATATTTTTTTTTTGTATTTTTAAAAGTAAATAATATTTTATAAATTCTGATGATTTGTTTTTAAGTAGATTAAAAAACAAGCTTTTTTTTTTTATTTTACCGCAGAGAACTCTACGCGCTAAAATTTTTTAAAAAAAATTATAAATTAACTTTATTTCATAAATCAAGAGGCTCTGATGTAATAGTTATAAAATAATTTGCTAGTTTATTATGTTAATTAATTACTGGTATTATAACAGTAATATAGTTGTTCTCATGAAGGATTATCTTTCAATATACCCACGTGTTGAAGAATGCATGTGCAAGGTACAATATAAAGATGTCAATCCGCGTGTACATTTTACCCTTGGATATATATATATATATATATATATATAGAGTCTAATACTTATCAATTTCCCACTGATACACCTATGATTAACAGTAATAAATCTGATTGGTTTTCTTTTTAATTTTCTCATTCTTCCCAGTTGCAGGTATGATCTGACTGGTTTAAAGAAAAAGCAGATGACGTCTGCATTTATGGGTTCATCAATTGGTAGGGTTAAATCTATGATCTCAAATCTTGCTGGTGGAATTATGTTGCGGGCAGAAGAAGCCGGCGGTGCCATTCAAATCCGAAAACAAAAACCAAGACTTCCAGAACTTGGCTTAAAAACCCTAATGTACCCACAAGAAGAATCTCCTGATCATCATGCTCCTTTGCCCATCCACTCCTACATGATATCATCTTCTAAAACACCTTCCTCTTCTTTGTTTCGATCACTGAGCGAGTCTTCATCATACTCCTCCTGGACGTCGGCGCTGGAAGATTTGATTGGAACTGAGAGTGGGGTTTACATCAGCTCATTAAATGATAGTTTAGTCATGGAAGTACAAGAGTACCCTTCGTCATCATCATCGTCTTCTTCTTCTAAGCGAAACCGCGTGAAGCAGAGCAGTAATGGTGAAATGGCAAGAGAATACCCACCTCCAATTCCTCTTCTAGCGCGGACTGGGAATTTGGCAGGACACATGCCCTGGGTTTTAATAAGACATTATGATAATGGAAAGCTGAGACTTAACGTGGAGAAAGTGAAGCATCATGAGTATATCGAAGCTCACAGGGAAGACAACCGTTTGGTCTTGAATCTTGTCTCCATGGACGACACCATCAGAGATTACCCACTTGTTTGTGATCAGACAATCGACGTTAGCTATGAAGAAGATGAAGCTGCAGAAAGATCAATGTCAGTGTGGTCGAATGAGACTAGTTTTGCTTCGTCTGTGCCCAAGTGTTGTTTCGAGATCAGTGGAAGGGAAAGGTGTGGAGATTTACGCAAATGTTTCACTTATGCAGGCTCGGCATTATCAGAATCTGGCATGTTTTGCAGTAACCAAGAACAATCTCGTACTATGCCCGTCTATATTTCTCCTCCGACAACAACAAAAGTCATGTAATCATTTCTTTACAACTGATCAGTTTAATGGATGAATACATCTTTGGGAATCACTGGATGCATTAAGGTTTACCTGGAACTAGCAATACAAATTCAATGTGCAATCCTTATGATAATGTACTGGTTATTTTGTTGCTCGATCAGTTTCTCATGTTTTGCTCACTGCCGTTTGGTCTTTCAACCTCTTAAATTTCTAGACGGTATACATATACATCAAAATCATTATTGCACCTGAATATATGTGTATAGAATAATATATATACCCAAGTTCTTTGGTTAAGCTTTTCTACAAAATCTACAACTCTTCGTTTCACGTGGGTTTTTGTCCTCCTCTGCCGTGCAGTGCTAGTGTCTATTTTTCAGCATATAAAACAGGAGCCGGCGGCTTCCGGTCAAAGCCCAGCACTTTACTTTCTCAAGGTTCGTTTGATGCCCAATTAAGCCCAATATGGGGAGAGAGGTGCAGGAGCATGTTAAGTCCAATTAATTAGATCTTCAAAAGATATAATTAATTATCAGAAGTTATTTCTATTTGAATACTGATTACAAACCGAAGGTAGAAAGTTGAATTTGTTTTAAATTGTAATTTCGTATAATAGGAATATATAAAATTTTTAACAAAAATAACATTTCAACTAATTTTAAATCAATTAGTCATCTAATTCCTGGAGATGGACAGAGAACGAATTGGTAATCCACATTTCTTGAACCATCTGCCTATTGCTTGCTTAATGATCTACCTTATGCTTTTGTTGTTTCGTAATTCCCAGTAATCCACGTATAGCACTCATCCTGGAAGGTCATTCAATTTCTAGTCTTGTGATTTTTTTCTGCTATTGCACTATACTGGATTTGCCACTTCTTGTGCCATTACACTTTTCTCAAATCATGGCTTCCAAAGAATATTAGTTATATCTCTGCAACTTTAATGTTCTATGTGATAAGAAAAGAATGTATCTAACAAACAGCCAAACTGCATAATGATAGACGATAGGGTGTTGATGCTTAATCTTGCAGCTGCCCGGGGTGTTAGAACCTATTCACATCAGATATTTCCTCATTCTATTCTGAAACTTCAGACATATTTCAGGAATTGTTCATACACTAAATTGCTGCAGTAACAAAGGATCGGAGAGCTCTACCCAGGATTATCCCGGCCTAATTATATAAGGTGGTTTCCATATAATATATCTCAAGAATAAAATGTAAAAGAATTCATGTCAGTTGATCAAGGAGCATGGAGGCATTGAAGAGATGGAGACCCCGAAGCAGGCCAATAAGCTATTTAATTACACTGAATCATCATACATTTAATCAATGAAGCTATTGAATTTGACTTCCCAAAAGAGAATGGAACTCAGAGCTGCAATAGCAGACAGAACAGCGGAAAAGGAACGGGGTCAAGGAAAAACATCTTCCTTGTTGAACAATAATGATTCTGTTCATGAAAGAATATGATTAACTATATAATACTAGAGCTTAAACCAATGAAAAAAAAGTCAATATGTCATTCGTATCTATACCTTATGATACTAGTAACAGGTGAAAAACCGGCACATATACATATTTACACTTAAGTACAGCTTCTGAACTTCCTGATGAAGCAATGAACAGTTTCATTCCTGAAGCACCGCGGGAGCCATGAATATTTACTTCAATCCTATTGTCTGGTTGTGCAGAGATACGAGGTGCAAGAATAGCAATATGGAGGGCTTGTTAACATCAATTATGAATTATCAGCCCGAGATGCTGTCCACAAATGATTTATTAACCCTTCTTGGATGCTCGAAAATTCTTGAGAGTCATCATAAGTTTCTGTCTCTCTCCTTCAACCTCTGCAAACTGAAGACTTAATTGGGAATAACGGCCATGCATCTCCTTTAGTTCAGTCTCCACACTTGCATACTTAACCTTTAGCTCCAGCATGTCATTAATCAGATCGTTGATGTCTCTAAAGCTTTGAAATATTGCTTCCTCATTGCTGTGTTGCTTAACAAAGGAGCTGCGGAAAAGGAGCATAGCATCATTTTATACAATTTCCAAAGTGTCTAAAAGACTAATACTAATTGTATCCATAAAATCTTCTAACCTACTTTAAACTTGGTTGACACATTTCCAAAAAACAGAACAGGTCATAGGTATGAATTCCAATGAGTGACAATTTACTACTCAATTCTGCCATAAGACAAAGTGAGCCAGGGAATTATTTTACAAATGTTTCATATACCTGATATCTTCAAGAAATGATGGCTGTTATTTGGTTAAATTTTAGACAAAAAATACAATTTGGCTCCAGTTTGGTCTTTTGTCATTTTGCACAAATAAATTAGTTTTTTAAGCTATAATCCTATAATTTTTGTTCTCTTTTCCTACTTTTGATTTATTAAACTCCACACTTTCATGTTTATGTGCTTATAAGTTCAAACACGTTTAAATGTCCTCTAGCAGATTAAGAATATTATGTAAAATGACTGTCACAGGAAAAAAAGGCACCACAAAGCTTGAATATGAATATCATCAAATTAGTGGTGTTTATTGGGGAGCCAATTGCTTAATTGTGTAAGTTATGTTATATTTATAACAAAAAAGTCTAATCATCAATATTTTTAACAAATCATGTTCTTTTCAAAGAAGAAACCTGTCAATTTAATCCTAGATCTCAATAATTAAATAATTCCAACAATGTACAGTCAAGATGATAGTTCAGGGGAGGTAAAACATTTCTACATTTACAAAGTCATCCAAGTCCATGTGCAATAAGAGTCCATGTTTTTATAATTAGAACAGAAATGAGAAGTTTCTACTTGTATGCCTACTTTCCCCAAGTATAATAGTTAGAGCTCAAACAATACATTCTACAGTGTATAAGAACCTTTTATAAGAACCTTTTACAGTCACGCTCAATGATAGTCAGCTAGCTATTCGTCGATTTTCAATCTTTATTCAACCAAAAAAATGAAGAAAAAATAAATAAATTGGATTAGTCTACCGCCCATAAAGAGAAAAAATTACATCTTAGAAAAAGTTACAACTTCATCTTCTGCAGTTTGGTCTTGTTTCTTCAATGTCACGTGGTTTTATTTTTTGTCACTACATGAAAATTCATTAACTTTTTAGGCTATTATCTTGTGTTTTTTTCCTAATTTTTATTTGTTTAACCCTGAATTTCCATGTGTTCTTATTTAGAGATCCAAATAACATTTACCAAAAACTCAACCCCCCATCTAGAACCGTATGCAAAAGCCTATCTCTGTAACCCAGAATCCTAAGCATATATCACTACAAACTTACCTTGGTCATCATTGCAAGCCTAAACAACTCTTGATGTTAGAAGTGGCATAAGGAGAGAAAATGATGAAATGGAGGACGGAATTATGGAAGGGTAGGAAGAGGAGATACTGGAGTCAACTTACAAGTGAAAATGAATCGGGATGCTATGACATGATACTTGAAGGTGATTGGTTGAGGCAATTCATCCTTGTGTTGTTTAATTTTGCGTATACGAATATATCACTTGAGAAGTTTGGGAGGAAGATTGTATTGCAAGCCTGCTAAACTGGTAACAACAGAAACTAAAAAAGTACCTAATTTGGAGAGAATTCTGTTGAAAATTAATCTGTTAGAAGACTCGAGTAAACATTAATTTTTCAGTTGTTGAAAATTGTCTGTTAAGGAAATTCTAACAGTTAAAATTCTAAACGTTAATACTTTGTATTGGAAATTGTTTTACAGTTAAGAAATTAAATCTAAACTCTAATATGAAACCTAATATTAGACCTAACAAGTAGTTCAATCAAATTTCTAACCAAAAATTGTGCCAATTGCTAAGCTTACCCACCTTTGCGACCAAAACTTAAATCTACATGATCTCGTACCCATACCATGCACTGCGAACTGAATGATTGTGTTCCTAGTAACTATGGCTTGGTCATTTTGTTTGCAATGCTAATTGTATTAACATCCTATGACATACCTCATGGTGCTAATTGTATTTCTTGGGTAATAAATGGGATGTAGAGGAAAGATATCTTGTGCTAGAAGCAGGATATCTAAATATCTATACCATATGCATATATACATGAAAATGCAGATATGAAACTGGCTTTTTTTTAAAAAATCTTTTCCTGAAACCATCCAGAATACTGGCTTCAGTCATATAAGTATTTTGCATCTTATAGCACCCTAAACTACTGATTAGAGTATGAAATGCTTTTAACACTATAAAATTCAGAACAAGACAAAAAGACTTTTTCCCTCAGTTATATGTTTTCGGTGATTCCTGACAATTGTTAAGATATAAATACCTCTGAAAATGGATGCTTGACTTCTTTGCCCGTAAAGATTCAGCAAGCTCAATTTCCAGAGCTAGAACTCTTTCTAATGCATTACAACTGCCTGAATATTCGTTAAATAGAGGAAATATACTTCCTAATTCTTCATTTACCTGTTCAAAGACCAAATAAACCAAATAACAGCCCTGATGGAAGGCACTTAAAAGACTTCTTAAGTGGTAAAGGGAGCAAAATTAATTTACCTTCTGTAACTGCATTAGTTCCCTTTCTAAACCTGGAAATTTTGAATCAAACTGATGAACATCTTGAGGGAGAAGTAAATTTTCATTTTTCATCCTCTCCAGCTGCAGTAAGAAGATAAAGAACAGTTATCAGGTATTATATTAGAAAGTAAGTCCGTTACAAGGTTGTTACAGGTGAAAAAAGAGTATGCCCCTAAAAACAGAGAGAGGTGAGTTCTTTCCACATGTCTTCTAACTTCCTATTATGCAGAATGTGTACCTCGTTGTTTAAGTGCTCCAAGCTTGATTTCAAAGTTTGGGCTCCAAACTGTTCATTGGTTGAAGCTAAATGTTCCCTTTCACTTTGCAGCAAGTTCTCTTCATTGAGATATGCTAGACTTGTATTTCCACTGATGCCGCTAGCTACAGAACTATACTGTAAGTCCAGGCAAAAAATGTTAGAAACTGAACTGCTAATGAGAAAAAGAGAAAGTATATAAAACAAAATTAAAAGAAAAGAAAAGTAGAAACAGGCCATTGCAGTCGAGTAATATCCTAAAGCCCATTTCCAAGAAGACAATAATCTAATTAATCTTAGGGTAGACTGCATTAGAAAGCACTATCAAATGACTGGCATGCAAGATAGAATTGCCACTAGAAGGAGATATCAAGCTATGGGCCAAAAGATAGAACGCAAGCAAAGATTATCCTAGCAGGAGCTTGTTTAATAGTAATTACTAAAAATTACGGTTCAATACATTCTCACAGCAGACTTTGAAGCCAAGCAAAGACTTAAAACCTCCAAGCATAAAACAGGAATTTAAAAAAGAAAATTTGTGCAACTAAATAAATTAAGCAAATTTTTCATTTACACAAATGCAACAAAGAATATCCACCAGAAAAAAAAAAGAATATTTTCGACGAAAAGATTGATTAGTGATTACTTTCTGCGGTTGTGCATTCATAATGGTATTGGAATGATCAGCATGAATACTGGGAAGGGAGTGCGTGTATTCTGATTCGTCACAATCCAATGAACCATCTTGGTCCAAAACTTCAGGATTCAAATTTCCTGCCTGACCGTTATTAGGAACCATGTACACACTTGCCTTCTCATCAGTTAAGGTAGCTGCAATTAACTTCTTCTGGTTAATATTTCTGTGAACTGACTTATTAGATGCACAACCTTCTTTGTCTGATTGATCCTCTCCTTGCTTTGGAGAATTTAAGGGCAGTTTGGAACCCCCAACTAATTCTTTCATCAAATTAAGCTCGGCCGAAATTTTGGACTTCTCCTCATTGGATTCCTGCAGAGAAGCTTCAAGTTTTTGTTTTTCTTCCTTACAGCATTCAAGACTTATTACTGAGCATTCTAGTTCAGCCTTCATCATATCATAAGCCTTTAACTTTTCCCGCTTGTCTGAAATTAACTCTTGTATCTCACCCTCAAGTTCCAATATCTTCAAACCCAATTCTTCATTTCTCTTTAAGTGAGCAGCTTCATATTTCTTCCTATTCTCAATTTCGTCAATGGCATCTTGTAGTTTCAACAGCATTTCTTCACTATGTTTTTTGGAGATGCACAGCTGATATTTGAGTTCTTGCAATTTTGTCTCATACTGTTCTTTTATAAATGCAATTCTCAGTGACTCTTGCATGGCTGATAATGGCCCTTCAGATTCTCTTTTTTCACGGGCCAGCATAGATTCAGCGTCAGCCTTGTCTTTAAGCTCCTTCAAATGAATGGACAAGTTTTTGTACTCTTCTGTCTTCAAAATCTGTTCAGAGAGCTTCTGAGTAAGGTCATTGCAATGGCTTTGCAGCACGGTAAGTTCATCTTTATGCCTTTCCTGCAATGTTGTCCAAGAACCATGTTCATCAAGTTTGGCTTTTAGCACCGTAACTATGACTTCAAGTTCTTCTCTGGATACCAACAAATTATCAATCTCTTCTTTGGAAGCAACCAACAAGTTCTTCAGCTTTTTAATTTCATTAGCATATCGACCTCTATCTTCAGCATAACCATTCTCTGTGTTCTCAGCCCTATTTCTGTATTCCTCGAGCTGCACAATTATAGCACTGTTTTTATCAAGAAGTGCTCTGTTTTCTGCAATGGAAGCCTGCAACTCAGATCTTAATGACCCAATAGTCATCAACAATCTTGCATGTTCTTCCATATTCTGTACTTCCTTGGTAAGAGAATGATCAAGTGCATCCTCAATGTCATGATGCTTTTTTTGAAGCTCAGTGACATATCTATCAGAGGCGCCGAGTTTCTCAACGAGCTCCTCAACACAAGATTCAGAGTGATTCCTTGTGAAGATGAGTCTCACATCTGCAGCTATTAGAAGTTCATGCATGTCAGACAACTGAGATTCCAGATCAGAAATAGAAGAAGCTTCTCGCCGACTATTTTTAAAGATCTCCTCATATTGCAACAAGAGATTGCAATTTTCCAATTTTTCTAATTTAAGATCAGAGATCAATTGCTTGAGATGGACCACTTCAGATGTCAGCTTGCCAAAATTTAGCAACTGCAAATCTTTCTCATTTAATCGCGTAGTAAGATCCGTGATTCTACTTTCAGTCAAGCTTCTCTCAGTATTCAACTCATCATGCAGAGACCGCAAATTTCCTCTCAAATTTTCAATTTCAGAAACAAGCTTGGAGGATTCCTCTGATTTATCCTGCAAAGATGCTACCAAAGCTTGCTTCTCCTCAGCTAGTTTTGCAACAGTAAGCTTACTTCTTCGAAGTTCATCAATTGAAGTTCCCAATTCTAAGATATCTTGGAAAAGTTCCTCATTCTTAGAAGCAAGTTGCTGAACCTCAATTTCCAAATGATCAAAACCAGAGCAAAGTTCTCTGTGCTGCTGTTGATAGCTTTCCTCAACCTCAGAGCTAACATGAAGTCTGTATGAAATAGCTTCGGCATCCAACTGAAGCTTTTGGACAAGGGCATTAGACGAATCTAGTTTATTAACTATTTCTTTCAACTCCTGTGCAAACTTCTGTTTTGTCACCAGGATATCTGATTCTGCTGTGCTTAAGGACAATTGAGCCTTAGCATTCTCACTCATTAGATTTTTATTCTCTTCTAGGAGTTGGGAAATCTTTCTGCATGCAATACGCTGGAGCTCTTCTAATTGCAAAACAACGCCTGTCAAGTCCGTGGCATCCAAATGAGAATCAATAGATTTACACTGGAGAGACAAACCACTGAAATTTTTGCTGTAAGATGACAATAAGATCAACAACTTATTTTGCTGAGAATCAATAATGTTTTGCAGATTTTCCTTTCTAATAGCTTGTTCATCAAACTTAGTTTCCAGAGTTTTCAATTCCTCCTGCAAAGAAACAATCTTAGCTCGAAGATTTCCATTTTCCAGGGCTTCTTTCTTTAACGAATTTGCTAAATCAGTTTTCTCCAAAACACAAGCTGCATACTTTTTCTCATACTCCATAATCAGGCATTCCCATTCAGCTATCTTCTGGACAAGAAGGTGATTGTCATTGGTTATATTTTGTAAATCTGTCTCTAAAGTTTGGTTCCGAAGAGCCATGTCATTGCATTTGGCAATGCAGTTGGCCTTGAACTCGTTTAGGGAGTAAACCTCGTCCATAGCAGTCTGCAGCCTCTGAAGCAATAACTCCTTGGATTCATTGGAAAGCTCTAGCTGCCATGTAAGTTCATTCATCCTCTCTTTCATAATTCTAATATCAGCAGTTGCTCCAAGCAAAGATTCTTGTAGTGTCTTCGAGAACACATCCAAGTACATGTTGACATAATGCATTTCACAAAGCTCTTCTTCGACCTTTCGGTAAAGCCCTCCTTGCAGATGGAGTGATCTCTTGAAGTCCTCCAGAAGAGTATCTCCACCCAAGGGTTGTTTTTTCTCCCCCGCATTCTGATTCTGGCACTGCAAATATTTGGTAGAATGAAATTCCTGTGCATCCAGTATCTGATTCTGTAAGACTGCTGGGTATCCTTCAATGCTTGACTGTGAAGAATCCCCAAAGGCTTGCTTGATGAGGTTCTCATTTGTCTCATACATAGATAAAACTTGGGAAGAAAGTAGCTCAAGATCCTTCTGCAAATGGTTTACAGCAACGGAGTAATTCAAGCGTGCTCTTCTGAGTGCTGCTTCTGCAGCGACAGTCCTTCTTTCCAGTTCTTTGTTGAGGGAATCTAAATTGTGTTTGTCCTCAGCAAATCTTAATATTTGCTCATTCAAATCTTGGTGCATTGTTTCCATCTCAACCTTGGTAGATGAAATTGTGTACAGGCAAGTGGCATGTTCATTTCTGAGATTCTGCAACTCTCCCAACATCTGTCTCTGATTTTCCTCAAGCTCCTGAATCAAAGCTTCATAATAGCACTCCATCTGGTCCATTTTCTTTGCAAGGCTTTCCCTTTCGACTTTCGATTCATCCAACTCCCTTAGAAGTTCAAATATTTTTCCTTTGAGTGCAGCAGCATCTAAAGAATCAGGGTCATGAGCAACAAGCCCAGGAATACTTGGACAGTGAAGCATGCCTAGTTCTGGTTGATACAAGTCCACATCAAACCCCATTCCTGATGCAAATTCCTCAGGTTTATGTACACCCATTTCTCTGCTTGCCTTTGTATTAATTGTTTCAGATGGTACTGTGTTGAGAAATGAGATTGGCTTTCCAGTTCCTTGTTTTAGATCCTGGAGAAAACCAAGTACGGAATCTAAATCTGAGTTAAAAAACCTGAAGTCCCTTTCATGGTATCCCAAGCATGCCTTTTTTCTAAGTTCTCTTATCTTATCCTCAACAATTGAAAGACCTTTTAGCCACCTGAGCTCTGTATCACGAAAGAAGCGATCCAGGTCCTTCTCAGTATCTCCATTGGAGGAAATATAAGGACCTGTTCTAGAAACTTGTTGCTGCTCAAGATCCTCTTTCAACTTTGAACACTCCAATTTCAGTAGAGAAACCTCTTTTGCCAATTGTTCAACTGAAGCAATTTCTTCCACAAGTTGCTGGGAAATTGTTTCTGCTTGAGCACCAATTTCATCGGCATGACTTTGTAATGAGTTTACTTCCAGCTTAAGTTCATTGATAGATGATTCTGCCACTTCTAAGCATCCTCGAAGTCTGCTATTTTCTTCATATGCATTTGCCAAATCATTATCTGCAGAATAGTCTGAACCCCAACTGTGAACCCAATCACTTGTACCCTGTGCCAGAAAACTTGGGTCAGGAGTGTCTCCTTTCAGCTGCCTAGGACTTTGACTAAGTCCAGCCAAATCACCAGAAATTGTACTCTTAAGGCTGTCAATTTCATGTGTGCTGGATGTATCATGCTTCTCAGCATATAAGCTTTCTGATGTATTAGAAGATCCATCAAATCCAACTGCTGATTCTGTGCATTCTTCATTTAGCCCTATTTCTACTTCAACTGAAGGGTGCTCTCTCGCTTTTTCTTTGAATCTAACCCTTGAACTGGCCTACACTTTGCAATAAAACAAAGATATATGTTCAACAGCCTGAAAATTATGGCCAACCATAGTAAAGAGGGAATTGACAGTAAAAGTAGTTAGTAAATGGATGGTTAAGCTGTTTGCACCACCTCATTTAAGATCATTTGAATAGTTAAAAATTTTCATTCACAACTTAAATGAACATGGAATATACATTCCTTTCTTTCTTAACCACTTCATAAAATTTGAGTAATACTCTATTCACAAGATTCTGGAAAAATGTTTTTGCATGAATCTGGAAAATTTATTATTAATGTACCCCTGGGACACCGGAAACAATGCTTCAGTAAGATATCAATGCTTTAAGTGATGCCATAAATTGTTATGATGTTAGAAACAAAGTCAATTTACCATATTAAAATTAGGATAATTATTGCCTGGGACCTCGCTTGGAAAAGCCATGATGGAGGTGGGAAAGAGAGAGAAAGGTGGACAATCATGAATTAATTTCTATTGTTCTTGTATTTTTCTATGGGAATTTTCTTAACAAGATTGTGGACTTTATCAAGCATTAATCATGTTGCTCAGCAGTACATTCCCTTAGCCTCAGTCCTTGCAGGTTATTAGATTGTGTTTAGTTCAATTCCCATTTAATACCTAACAAATCCTAGTGGAGGTGTGCATGAAAGAATTGAGAATAATCCCAAACCACAGATCTGAATAATTCTGAACCAAAACTTTCAGGTTTGGTTCAGTTTTGGGTTGCAATTATAAAAAATCAAGGTTAAGTGAAACCAAACAATTTGGTTGCAGTTTGCAGTGTTTGCAAAATACCAGTTAACCAAAGCACACCCTTGATTCTAAGTTTTATTCTCATATTAATATTACATTATTTTTAAACAGAGACAGAATTTTTGCAGAGTTTACTTATATATTATATGTAGTACAACTAGAAAATTATGATACACTCTCAATTGATGTTATATTGAATATTGAATGGAATTTGAACAATACATTCCCAATTCTGTCAGAATATTTTATTTTAATTCCACAAGGAATTCCATATGGGATCGACTTTTGTCATTTTCTCATGGAATTTACATTTTTGTCTAGTTAAACTAAGAGAGAAATGAATTCCACAAAGTTTCTAAATGCATTCAATAGATAACCTTGATATGCACAATTAGAAGATAATTTATTATGTTTTAGTAACTACCAGCTCACCTTGAATTTATTACGGTGGAAATTCAATTTTTATCTTTTAAAGGTGGGAGTTGAATCTCCGCCATCCAAGAATTCAATATGGGGGGTGGTAACTAACTAATGGTAATATAAGGGTTAGAACTACAAATTGACTAAGGGATGAATGAAAACTGAAATAAACATAGCATTAGCGTATTTTATTTTATGGAGTGAATCAAACTTCTAGACTCTTTTTTGGCCAAACTATTATATCTTCCTTCCTGATCCAAATGTCATCCACCAATTCTAGAAATATTCTGATCAGCCCTTTATCAGGCTTGCCTAAATTTGCTTCTACTGGCTCCACGGGCCACTAGAACTAGAAGCTTCAGTTTTCTTATTCATCATATCCCATCATGTGGAAAAATCCAGGAAAATAATTCAGAATCATTTAATTTTCCATCTGTTACCCATTCATCTGAGAAGTTCATATTCCTCTGGACCTATCTTCATCATTGGCCACAACCTACTTTTATATGGTGTGCAAATTCAGTTAATACAAATTAGAATATGCAATTTAATCAGTTCAAATCATTACTAGCCCTCTTACACTCAGAAAACATCATTACCAGCCCTCTTGCTTGTAGCTATTATGGTGAAGAACGGATATCAGCTAGGATTTCTAAATAGATTAGAAATTGTATCTCTAGCTAGTCTACATATTATTGTAATAATATGGCTAAAATTAGGACTTGTATAGGATTTATTTGATTTAGGGATTTAATTTTATGTTCTTCTCTGCAGTGGTATTTCCTAATAAAATTAGCATTCCATAGTCTAATTCCATTTAGGAAGAGAACTTAGGAAACACTATAAAACTTTTCTATCTCGCTTTTGACATAAGTCTAGTAATTCAATAGAAGTTCTTCCAAAATTTTCTAAATCTTTCTGGTTGTATGAGTTGTCCAAACACTGGGAACATTAAGAAACTCATCTCCACATAAGAATAATTGTAAGGGTGTTCTTGTTTACTTGGTATGATTCCAAACAAAGCTCAACATAAAACAATGACAAGAAATATCACAAATGTAAACAAACAAATGACTGAACCTTGTCTTTCTGATTGTTAAGAGTCTCTTCAGAAAATGATAATTTTCCATGAGAAGATTGATCAGGACTAATTTGGTCAGTTGTCTGAAACCCCCTCTCCCTGAGTTCTCTCTGCTGCTCGAATTCTCTGAAAACAAGTAGAACTACAAATCAACATACCGACATTTGTTAATGCATGAAGTTTGCATATTTAGTACACAGTACCTGAAACCAGTCTTGGAAGTTAACAGTTGTACAGTAACCTAGCAGTGAAGAACATAATCATTTAAGTAGCATAATGGAGAGTAACAAATATATCAAGTAACAACTGGAAATTTACAAAGTGTAATAGATAATTGAAAGCCCAGATACGCCTCTGCTACCTTTATTGATAAACTGCCCAATCAAGAACTTGAAAAACATACTGAACGAGAAAGCAAGCAAGTAAGAAGATTCTCACATGTAACATAGCTCCAGAATCACATCCATGAAGAGGAAGTGCAACGGTAGAAGGTTTGAGTGCATCAGCATAATCAGCAAGATTGATTGTACTTTCTCCAAGGAGGCTAGATCGTGAAGAGCCCTGATGTTAATTTTCCAGTTTAGATATAAGGTTATATCCATTATAGCAGAGAAGACTATGAACTTGTCCACAAAAAAGTGGAAGTTTTACATATTTTTCTTTCTAAAAGAAAAAGAACTTCAACATGAAATTGGGATTGGGATTCTACCATTGCCACTACAAGCTTATAGAGCTTTTCATCATATTCTTTTGTTCTAATGTCTTGAAGAAGTCTGGTAGTTTCATAGATTGGATCTGCCCATTTGCAGGTCCCGTTTCTCACATTTGCCTTTGTAGTCTTAGCTGTTGCTTTTCCAGAATCAGCAGGAATGAAGGAAATAAAGAGTTTGTCCCACCCAGCTTGTGGAATCTGTCCCATGGAGAAAGAAATGTTGAACGAATAATTTCATATATTTATCAGTAGATGCAAAAATAAGCATTCATGCATTTGTAGCATGTTTCATGAGCCAAATGGAAGTTCTTGCCAATGGTATAAATTGCAGATCTGCAGCTCATCTATGGTGATTTTGAATTTCAAAAACAGAGTTGATGTGAGTATGTCAGCTTGCACGGGAGAAATAACAAAGAGAAAAACATTGGAAATCTGTAAGGAAGATGAGAATCTGAAGAATATTACTGGAATAAAGTGAAACCTTGTTGATGGAATGGCCTCAGCATTTTCTACTAATTAATTATATGGGCCACTGGCAATATTTCTACCTATTCATTTGATGGCTGCATTTTATTTTTCGTCCCAATATCTTTTAACAATAACAGAAATTTATAAGGTACAAGATCCAGTAAGTCCAAAATATAAAAACTTAAAAGCAGTTATGAACACAGAACTGTCGAAGAATAACACAAGTTTCACAAGATCAACAGTGACTTACATGTGTTGCATGAAATTGTAACCGGAAGACAACTTTAACTTTTGTTTTCTCAAGCTTCCACTTAGCAATCCTCGACATAACTGGAAAACCAATGATCATGAACAACCAAACATCAGAATTCCACTCTCATTGCTATGCCGTAGTTATAGCAAGTGCCATAACTATAATCATGGGGAGACTTTACTATCATCATGCTCCTATGCTTGCATAACTCATCATGGGGCTAAAACATACATGCAGGCGGACGGAGAGAGAAGTAACAGGTTCACGGTCAGCAGCTTCCACGGAGATCTAATTTTCAAGTTTGCAAATACATAAAGTATTGAGATCCTAAAACTTCCTTGACTTAGTAGACAACGTGACCCAAATCAAAAACCAAAAATGCAGGTGCATCAAACTCAGATCTTAATTTGTTTTCGAGAAGTCGACGGAACCAAAACAATGGTTGACTGAACTCAATTCTCAACATCTGGGTCTAGTACGGTTACTTCCCGATTTCTTTAAAAACAAAGAAAAAAACAAAAGATCCAGAATCGCAATTTTTAATTATCGTGCCACGTATCAGGCAAAGTGAAGGTGATACAAGTAAAGAAGTGAAACTAAAAATACCATTTGAGGAACAGAAACAGAGATTCACTTATACCTTCTTGAGGAGAACTATCCAAAAGATCCAAACCCAGAATCAATCACAAAATTCCACCTTAGAAATCCTCCGATCCGAGCATCTAAGTCCGAGAGGAAGGCATCGCATTCAAAATGTGACACCGGAAAAACGACAAGAAGAGTACCAATTCAAATGGCCACTTCATACTGAGCCATAAAGGGGCATAAAAGATCCCCCAAGAAAACCCAAAAAGACTGATGGAAAAGCAAGGGATAGTTAGAAAGAGAATCCAAAAAAAACAAATGCAGCTAAACGCGGAAAAAAACGCATCCCCTCAAAGAAACAAAGGCGCGACAATAGTTGAGCAAAGAAACAAGCGCCATTACTGCTTCTTCAACAAAACGTCAAAAAGAAAAATCAGAAGTTCACCCCCACAGAAAATTCACCAGATTTATCACTAGGAAAAAGGAACCCGTCAAACTCAAGACAATGTATTAAGGACACAGTCGAAAATACGTCAGCACAAGGAATTACCGGATTTGGCCACAGGAGAAAACTGCCAAAATGCAGTGAACAGAATTGACAGTGAAAAAAAGAAAAGAAAAGCGAAGTAAGAAATTGGTATTACTTCAGAGTAATAAAAAAATAATGGGGAGAGTGAAGTGAGTCGAGAGTAGGTAGGTACCTAGGCAAGGATCTGCTGGTTCTTAAACTGGAAGCAGCAGCTGAGCCTCCCTATCCCCTCAGAGCAAGGTTCCTGCATTGCAATATAATGGGGGGGAGAGAGAGAGAGAGAGTGCTGTGCTTGTTAATAAATAAGTGGGTGTTATGTTGGTAGGATATTTGAGATAGAGAGAGCGTAAAGAAGCAGAGAAATGTAGGGTTAGATGGAGAATTTTAATGGCGACTGATTGATTGTTGATTAATTAAACATTAATCGAACAAAAAAGGTGGGAGGGGAAGCGTAGATTGAAGGTGAAAGAGGAGGCTTCCGATCTGAGAGAAGCGGAAATTTGGTCCCGTTGTTTTGTTGTAGAAGAGATTAGCAGACGAGAGAGACATCCCGCCAAAGCGTCTAGACCTGCTCTTGTCCTGGTTTGATTTTGCTTAATCAATTAATTAAAATGAATTAAGTCAAATTACTAAAATGTCCCGAAACGACTTTTCACTAGATTTTTTTTTTAGTGATTTAAGAAGAAGTCAGTGTCGTTTGAAGCTCAATTTCGGAACTTCTTTTAGGTCAGTTTGAGATTTACCATGCCACATAGGCTTGGGGTTAACTATGCTTTATGGACATCTTTTTTTAATATGAGGAATACGATTATTTTGAATTAATTTAGGGACTACTTAATTTTTTAGTTTCATATAATAAAAACGAGTTAAATGAGGAATGAGATTGAAATTTTAGATGAATTATTTTTATGATTCTTTGGGTAATAAATAAATGTATCATTATGCAATCGATGTTGATTTAATTTGGGGTCATATAAATAAATAAATAAGTGAGAAATAAAAAAGAAGGCAGGAGAGGATAGATGGGGGAGAAAATTGGTCCTACCAAATGAATGAAATTTGAATTTGGAAAATTGGCAGTGCACATGGGTTTTCTGCGGCAGTGATGAAATGTCATCACATTTTGATGCACCCGTAAATTAAAAACATATCTCATGAAATTATACGATCCATAAAGTTTTTAATTCTAATGAAAATATCAACTAAGTAAAAATATGTGTTAATGCCACTCAAACTGAAAGGTTATCCCTTCATTTGAATGTAAAACAAATATATATATATATATATTTTTTCCATTATTTTTGTACGAGTGAAATTGTTTTTGCATTTCTTATTATGGCCTCCAGGATTGCAGCTTAAGCCTTTCTTCCTATAATTTTGAAAAAAGAAAAGTCATTCGCGTGCTGGGGGGGTGAGGAAATTATACGCGTTAATTAATTTTATGCTTAATGGGATTGAATTGGTTTTCTTGCATGTGTTTGGTAATATTATTTTGACAATTTGTGTAGTTTGTTTTATCATCTACATTTAATTAAATATAATATATTATTAATGTAAAAAATAAGTTGTAAATACTAATTAATTGACAGCTTTCAACAAAATTAATATTTATTTTTTAAAATCATTTTACTGTTATTTATTTTTATTTTAATTTTTTTTATATTTTTTATTAAATAAATTTTTTTTTTTTAAATAATAATCTTTTTAAGCAAAAATACTCACACACCAAATTAACAACCACAAGATGGCACCTTACTTACATAAGCTCATCTTAAGGGATATATATATATATATATATATATATACACACACACACACACACATACATATATATTGTGCAGAGATAATTTTCTTTACATAATTCAAGAAAGAATTTATGGTTTACAGTTTTAATTTAGTAATATATTTTTTTCCATACAAGAGATAAATAAATGCATCTTTGTTTTCGCGAGAACAAATATATATTTTTAAAATGGTGGAGAATACAGTAATAATTTACCAGCAAATTGTGGCTTGCTCAAGTAAAGGTTAAAACCCTGCTAAAAACCCTGGCCATCCTGGGAAATAAGCCACAACCCTCCAGAATGAAATTCGTCTCCCGTTCTGTCTCCAAATCCTACCTCTCCACTCACCACCACCGCAACACTAACTGCATACCCTTCGTGGATGCCACCGCCGCCACAATCCCATGCGTCAGAGACCGAGGCCTTGACCACGTGGTGGAGCGAGAGAAGAACCTGAACCCACTCCTTAACATCAAGAACATCATCAAATCAGAGCCGTCCAAGTCGCTTCCAATCTCCATCATCACCCAACAAAAGGACTTCCTCAAGGTCCCCACTCGCCCCATCGAATTCATCCGGAAGTTCCCTTCAATCTTCCAGGAATTTCTCCCTGGCGGGATCGGAATCCAACCCCACATCAAGCTCACCCCCGAGGTGCTCAATCTCGATGCCGAAGAGCAGTTAGTTTACCAGAGTGACTCTTACAAGCAAGACCTGGCCGATAGGCTACTGAAGCTGCTGATGATATCGAGAATCAATAAGATACCTTTAAGGATTCTGGATATGTTGAAATGGGATCTGGGTCTTCCCCAAGATTACATCAAAACTCTCGTCCCAGAGTTTCCCGACTACTTTCGGGTTGTGAGTGGGGAAGGGTTCTCATCTGGGTCAGAGGATACTGGCGAGTTGGAGTTGGTTTGCTGGAGTAATGAACTGTCCGTCTCTGTTTTGGAGAAGAAGGCTACGAAGGGGGAAATGGGGTACTCAAAAGGAATGCCGATAGCATTTCCTATGAAGTTTTCGAGGGGTTTTGAGATGGATAAGAAGGTGAAGAAGTGGGTTGATGAATGGCAGAAGTTACCTTATATATCGCCATATGAAAATGCTGGCCATCTTTCACCTAAGAGCGATGAATCAGATAGGTGGGCAGCTGCAGTTCTGCATGAAATTATGAATCTTTTTGTGGCGAGGAAAGTGGAAAGAGAAAATGTGTTCTGCCTTGGGGACTATATGGGAATAAGGTCGAGGTTTAAGAGAGTTTTGCTTCACCATCCAGGCATTTTTTACTTGTCAAGTAAGTTTGGGAGTTATACTGTGGTTTTGAGGGAGGTTTACAAGAGGGGTTTGTTGATTGAGAGTAATCCATTACTGGGCATTAGAAGTCAGTATATTCACCTCATGAATACTGTTAAGGAAAATAACAAAGCTATTACTGTCCCAAGTGGAAGCAAGCAAAAAGAAAAGGGAGCAATCAAAGACGACGAGTGTCACGATGATAGTGCAGACAATAATTCTGCGGAGTCTGGTTCTGAGGTTGAGGATTTTAGCGACGACGATTATGAAGATAATGATGAGGATGAGGATGAGGATGGTGCAGATAGAAAGCAGGGTCAAAGAGGTTTTCACAGAAATCCAGTCGATGGTAGAGGTAGAACTAGTAGGCAGAAGGATTTGGATTTGAAAAGGCATGCTGGAAATGTTCAAGGAGAAAGAACAACAGGGAAATATGATCGTAAGACTGTGCACAGGCGTCCACTGAAAGCTTCTAGAAGAAAAGAAGTACACGGTGGACATAGCTTGCGGCAAAGTTCAAAAGAGTGGTCAAAGTCAACTCAAAGCAAGAGGAGGTCATTGTGGAGCAAGGAAACTTCTACTTAATATAGAATGATTCATTTGCTAGATAACATCTAAGCAGGTAAGCCCTTCTTTGTATCCACCCATATTTTTGTGATTGAGAAAAAAAAATGAACTATATTTAAAATGGTTGCTATAATGCCTAGATGTTTAATTTTTGTAATTTTCTTATCGCCGAGGGATGGAAGTTGTAGTTGAGCTGGTTGCTTTGTATAGGTGTTTTGTATTTTCACTCGGTATATAGAGCCAGCGCACGTCTACAAATGTTGTGGATGAGACATAATGACCTAGGCAAAGAGGGAATTTCTTGGGGGAATAAGGAGAAAACCGTTAGAGAAAAGGCAAATCAAGCAGCTGGAAAATGTTATCAACTATACCAAAATAAACTAACAATAAAAATAGCTAACACATTTCTAAAGTGGTTATCATTCTTGGTTGAATCACTTTGTTAGATGTCTCTTTGTTTTGTTTCATAACATAGTGAATATAAATTCTGGTATCATGAATTTCTCCAACTTTTGACGAATCAAGCAGCTGGAAAATGTTACCAACTATACCAAAATAAACTAACAATAAAAATAGCTAACACATTTCTAAAGTGGTTATCATTCTTGGTTGAATCACTTTGTTAGATGTCTCTTTGTTTTGTTTCATAACATAGTGAATATAAATTCTGGTATCATGAATTTCTCCAACTTTTGACGTGTTAACCTCACTGGACTTTAAAGATATTTTAACATACAACCGTGAAGGGTGTTTCTTCTTTTACTGCATGTCTTGAGCTTTATTTCAAAGGTGGAGAGAAGAGCAAATTATAAGATTTTTTTCCAATCTGTTGCATAATTTCTCTCTCCTTCCTTCTAGAAAGAGAAAGCCCTCTACCTCAGGATTTGGGCTTCATTTTTCTTAGGCTGTTTTGACTTTTTACCATATGCTTTTTCTATCACCAAGAAAGTTTTGGTGATAGAAAGAAAATTTCTTGATGTGGCTTTGGAGGGAGAAGTGGAGGATATATTGAGAATCACGGAAAATGGGGCTAAGGAAATGTTATGCTCTCACCTTTTTAGCTTGAAAATCAGGTGGATTTTTGAAGCTTTATGTGAATTTTTCTGGGTTAGGGGCCATTATTCTTGGTGCAGATTTGATAAGATCGATAACATGTTCCATCTGGTTGAAACGGAGTAACGGGGGACATTTTCTGGGGCTGCAAAAGAAGGACGCATGCACAAGGAGGTTGATGGTTCCCAAAGGCGCTGAAGCAGAGGGTTGGTGGAGTGTTGTGGGCCATCTGTCAAGTCTGTGACATCAGTTTAGAGGAGGGGAAGAGGAACCCTTAAAGAACCTTGCTGGTCGGTGGAAGAAGAAGACAAGCAATAGAAACCGCCAATTCTGGAGGCAGCATCTCTGGTCGGTATAAGGCAATGCTTCTCACTTCTTTGCAGGTTGTATAATACCCAGCTGGAGATTCAAATTTCCCCTGTAAACCAGAGTGGCAGATCTGGGCAGCAGTCATATGCTTTTATTCTGAAGATAAAGGCTGCAAACAATCTAAAAGTTGGAAGTTTAAAGCACCCAACGAAGAATGGTTTAAAGACATAACATCTATGCCATTAAACCAACCAAGTTAATCATCAGAGAACTGACTCAATTGCCTGTCTTGGTGAACTCTTCCTCCTCATTAGAAGGCTTGTTATTTCATCCGAGGAGAGCTGGGCTGTCATTCCCAAGGCACCTCAGAAGGAGTGGAGTTAGAGAACAAGGTTTACCCTCACTATCTGTTGAGATTTGATCTCTTCCTTCTCTCCAGCTTAAGGAGTGGGTTAGTAGTCTAGTTTGTCTCACAAGACAAAAGTTGCAATGCGCAAGGATATTGAGGGATATATAGAGCCGGTGTGAGGTTGATTTGTTGGATCTACCATTAGATGAGAGTTTTAGAGGAACCATTATCTTGTTTGATGAGACAACTAAAGATTTGAGTGGCTATAGGGGGATAGTGTCCATTTCTTGTGTGTTGAAAAACATAACTGACATTGTTTATTTTCTTTCACGGGGGTGTATGGAGAGTAGGAAAGTAATGATAGGCATTTTTTTGTGGGATGACCTTGAGGTAGCTAGGGGTCAATGGGGTTGACTTGGGTTGTGCTTGGTGATTTCTATACGGTGTTTACCCTTATAAAAGGATGGGAAGAGACCTCTCTTTAGCTTTTATTAGAGATTTTAGAGATATCTTGGATAATTTGAAGCTCATTGATCTACCCTGCATGGGAGAGAAGATGCTTGTTTATCCCATTTTGATAAGTTTTGTTATCTCTGGAGTTTGAAGAATTGATGACTGATTTAATCCGAAAACTTTTGCATAGCGTCACTTACAAATCATCCTCCCTTGTGTCTTGATCTATTTGACATTAGATGGGGTCCTCCCTTTTAGATTTTAGAATAAGTGACTCAGGACACTTGAGTTCGCAATTGATTTAAAGGTTGGTGGGAAGAGGAGAACTTGGGAGGCTTTTCCAGTTTTGGATTGTTTAAAAGCTTACTTCCGTAAAATCCAAAATAGAAACTTTGAACTTTGTTTTTGATAACAATGGGAGGTCGTTAGGAAGGAGTTCACTTGGGAGATTGACGTCTTGTTTTTTATAACAATTGCTTAAGTTGAGTTGGTAAACTGGATGCTTATGTAGGTTGTGGTTTGAAAGCAAAAGTCGAGATTGTTATGGATTATAGAATGGTCAATTTTCAACACGTGAAAATTTTAGTCCCATATCAAGGTTGATGGGATAGAATTTGAGATTGAAAACAACTTGAAGAAAGTGATTAGAGTTACGTTGCAGGCATTACACTGAGACAAATATATGGAGATCTTAGTTGGGTGGCATTGCTTTAAACTCCCTAAACAAAGAGGTAACTGTTTAAAGATGAGATAGGGACAGTCTTGAATCAATGTGGTAGGGAAAAGGTCTTGGTCTTGAACATTTTCTTTATGGCTTTTATATGAAGTAGTTGAGATGTGATTAAGGGTGACAATTTTGGCTTGTTTGGGGAGTTTCATGAGACAAGATGACTCCCTAGATTCAACCTTCTTGGTGTTGATCCCTAAGGTGGAAACATTTTAAACTTAAAAGGACTAAAGACCTATCAATATAGTAAACAGGTGTTAAAAGTTACCCGCCAAAGTTTTAGCCTTAAGATTCAAAAGGGTGGTTGGTAAGGTGGTGGATGTAACACAACATGCCTTCATCAAGGCTATCAGATCTTCAATGTGTCTTAATTACTGATAAGGTGGTTGATTTGATTGATCATCAAATCTGGGAAGAAAGGATTTATGTGTAAGTTGGATGTTGAAAAAGTTTATAATCATGTGTCATGATCCTTCTTGGATTGCCTTTCAAGAGATGGGTCTAGGGGCTAAGCGGAGGAAATGGATAAAAGATGTGTATCTACGCCGTCTTTCACTAGCTTGATTAATGGGTCCTTCAATGCTCCTCCATTTTTTATGAGGCTCCAACAAGGGAATCCTCTTTCTCCCCTTCTTTTCAACTTGGTAATGGAGGTTTTCAATAGAATATTATTAGAGGCCAGGGAAGCAAATGTGATCATGGGGCCTAGTGTTGGAAACAAGGAAAGGAATAAAGAGGTGACATATTCTTTTGCAATGACTCTACTCTCAGTTTTGCAAGCCGGACAAGAACTATATACTTCATCTTAGATGCCTTTTGGTGTGTTTTGAAGCTGTGTCGCGCCTAAGGATAAGTCTAGAGAAATCTGAAGTTGGTGACTTTTGGGGAGAGTGTTGAGGCAGAGGCCTATGCAACATTTCTCAGTGTAAAATTAGCTCTCTCCAGCGAAAATAGTTGGGTGCCTCTGGGGCCAAATTTGAAGATCGTAATATCTAGGAGGCAGGAAGGTTGAAGATAGAAATTAGCTAACTAGAAATGAGGATGTTTTCAAAAAGGTGGGACATTCATCCTCACTAAGAGCACATCATCTAGGTTTTTTTTTTAAATAAAAAGTATGATGTATGTAAGACAATATCATCTTAGTTTTTCTATCTATTTATCTTTGTTTCCAGTCATCTAAGGTGGCAAAGAATTTGGGGTCTTTATAGTGCAGATTTTTATGGGGTAACTCCAACAATAAGAGGCGTTTTCATCTTGTCTCTTAGAACCTGGTGAAAAAACAAATCTCCAAAAAGGGTTTGGCTATTGGATTCTTGAAATATATGAACAAAGCATTATTGCTTGCCAAATGGTTATGGAGATTTATGAATTGCAAGGTGTAGCTTTGATGGGAGGTCATTTGCACTAATTTTGGTACTCAAAGTAGGTATTGGAGAACTAGTAGCAATAGACACCCATATGCTACCAGTTTGTAGAATGTGGATTGCCAAGTACTGGGACTGGTTTCTAAATTTGGTCTCATTAAATGTTGGCAATGGTGGATCTGTGTTTTTTTGGATTGATTGGGTGACTATTGAATAGTTTTTTCCTTCTTTCGATCAGGCATAAAGAAGTAGTGGCGCATGATTCTTTGATTTATGACCTAGGTAATTAGACTCTTTGGAATATTTAACTCGTCAGAACTCTTAATGGTTAGGAGCTCGAGGAGTTTGTGGACAAGTACCAAATTGTCTGTCCAAAGGATGATTATCCTCAGTATCCTCTCCCCAAGAGTGGAAACTTTTCAGTGAATTCTTTTTATGAGAACGTATGTGATCACAATGTGAGGTTCTTAAGTTCCCTTGGAAGCAAAATCTGGAAAAGTAAGGCTTCTCCCAGGGTCTTCTTTTTCGTCTGAGAAGGAGCATGGGAAAGTGATTTTTACCTTGGATAGTTTGAGGATCTGAGGCAGGATAATTATGCCTTCCCAAGTTGGAATCATCCACTCATCTTCTTTGGTACTGGGGGCAAGAACACTATGGCATTGTGCTCTAACTTTCCTCGATTTAACTTGGGTTGTTTCAGGTTCTGTTTTCAAAGAAATTTGTGTTCCCTGGGTATTAGCACTTGTAGATCTAAGAAAAAGTGTAACGGCCCCGGAAATTTAAAATGAAATGTATATTAA